GCGATACATCAAAATGCTTCACGATGTTTCTTTTAATTTCAATAAAAGAAGGGATGAAAGAAACTTGTCTGATTCTTGTCATTTTGCGGCATTTTCTGGTACTGACTGGTAGTATCTTCGTCCACAGACAGACAGCTTATCCGTTTGAGGGAATAATTAGGAAAAAGTCGATTAAAAAATGAGCTTATAATTTACTTACGAATCTGGCAATACCGTGAATCATGCAGCTCAAGCAACTCAAGCTCTCTAGCTCGAAACTGAATATAATTGGAATGCAAAGAAATGTACCAAGAATTAGAAGGGATTTTCCCGGGCTACTTGACATTGACACGTTAATAAAGTTGTCTATCTATTCTATCTATCTTTAGTATAAACCTACCAGCGTTCTATCGCGAATGCAGTTCTCTGATTGGCTACGTTACTCACTATCTATTCATAGACAGTGAGTAGCCTAGCAGCGTGCGGTTGTTATCGAGATGACGGCCGACCCTTTGCGTTTTCGAAGTGTCTATATGAAGAGAATTTGATAAAGTTTTGAAAGACTAGTAGATTCATACTAAAGCAATTCAGTCTCGATTTCTATGCGTAATGGAAATCTCGAGCTCATAATCTAATTGTTAAATAGAAAACTGATAAGGTAGAAAAATGCGAAAAAGTGTCATCTTGTGAAAAATTGCAAACGTTTCGGGCATGGGCTCGCAGACCGGAAAAGCACGGAATTGAAATCGAGCCTATTTTGGGCATAGCCCTTCTTCAGTGTGAGAACCGTTAAAAATTATTAGAAATCGATGATGTTCGCTCTAGAACTGAACTAATCTTGAAAATAAGAAATACCAAAAAATTCTAATAATTGGAGGCCTTCTCTTAAAATATTAATTTATTATATTTAGATATTGAGACACCAATTTTACCCATGTGAAAAGCCTAAGCAGCTTTACACGCGTTTTTTTAAAATCTAAAATCGCCTGACGAAACCACCCACGCAACGCGCGCGAGAGCATTATCCGAGGAGGAACTGGATATCATATTTGTCAGCTGTCAGTCAAGAGGCTGTTAACTAATAACAGCAAACCTTAAATGTTCCCTCTTGACCCCTTCTACATATAACTAAATATAAAACATTTATTTTCTTAAATTTCTGTCTTATTATTATTATTGTTTTTTCGTCATATATCACATAACGAGGATCTTACTAAGTGAATATACAACTGTTTTCTTGGCCTGACTGATCCTATTTACCTAAAAACATTCAGACGTATAATACATAGCAAAGTCCAGTATTCCACTTAACTTTTCTATTTTCAAGCTAGCCTGCGAAAAGCCCTCTCCCGCCCCGATCGCTTCGCTTTCAAAATTCTTCAGCTCCGCGCTCGCCGAATTTGTTTTCCATCCTCGCCGGGAGCTTGTTTGCAGGCTACTTTCGGGCAACCAAACCTGCAGGGGACTCCCGAATAAAAAGGACTGGGCCCGGGGGTGCCCGTCGTACCTTTAAGGGGTTGAAAGGGTCTTAAAAACTCGGTTTTGGTGCCTTTTAGGGCGTTCAGTCAACCTCAAAAGGTCCACAGCGGGAGCATTTACGGTACCTTTTAGGGTATTGAACCGAGGAAAATATGAATGACGACAATGTGTTGTTCAGAATCTTAGGGGTGAAAAACACTTCAAGCCAGGCCCAAGAAATAGGTTCTTGGTACCACTGTTAGCGGTCCTTGTCAAAATTCCCGACCACCACCCGGTCCTTTTTATATGGGTGTTACCCCCACCCCTTCTCGGGCAACTGTAATCACTCAGTGAAGAGCCGCGTCTGGTGTGTTTTTCTAACACTCTATCTAAGTTACCGAAGATTTCCAATCGCGTGGGCTTTATTTAGATTTCAAATCGCGTGAGATTTATCTACATTTCATAATGTAAATAAATCTGTGTTGTGTATTACTACCTAATTTTTCGAGCTCTGGTTTGACCTGGGCGGACTTTTGAAATTTGGTTGGAGGGATTACGAGGTGAAATATATTACGTGACCTCTGAGTCGCTTGGCGAATTTGCATTAATATTCACTCGCGTGTGTGACTCAAAGGTTTGTTTGCGACAGGTCATATCCTACTGATCCGGCTTAGTGGGTCACAAAAGATCTCCACTTCGATTCGACGTTCACTCTTCTGAGCTCTTCAGTCGTCCGCCATATTTAAACTCATCGAGACCCCCTGATCTCTATATTTTTCTCACACTAAGAAAGCGAAACGGACAAGAATGGCGCTTACCGTATCTCGCAGCTTCGTCACTCGCTCCTGCGTCAGTCGCTTGGTGTTCGCTTGTAATTCGTCTCAGGGTCTTAACCAGCCCCCAAGAAGTAGATTGCTTGTTGAGTCTATTAAGCCGAACGCAACCTTCGCTGCCAAAGAACAGTTCAAAATCCGTAAGATAAAGACAGAAGAGGAGTTTGAAAGCGTCATAATAAGTTGGATGGTGGAAGAACGCTGGCGGCCGGGTTTAAAAGATGCTGAATGCTTCTTGGCTTGTGATCCAAGCGGAGCGTTTCTTGGCGAGTTGAACGGGAAACCCATAGCTTGCGCTACAATGACAAAATATGCTGAGAGATTTGCTTTCGGTGGTTGTTATATTGTGAGCAAGGAATACAGAGGAAAGGGTTATGGCGGGATGCTTTATGACGCCGCTATGGCAAGTGTGATGCCGTCCCGTAGCATTGCAATTATAGGGCTGCTGCAGTGGGAAGAACTGTACAAGCGTAAGGGATTTCGCAGTAAGTTTTATGGGGCGCGCTTTGACTTGCACCCTCCAACAGCTATAACACGCTTCTCTGAAACATCGGAGAGATGTCCCGTAAATATCAAATGTATTGAAGAAATAGATCTGCAAGCGTTATTCAAGTACGACACCACAGTGTTCGGAGTTGAACGTCACGCGTTCTTGTCCAAATGGCTTCGTATCCCAGGGAAACATGGCCGTGTGGCTATCAACAGTGAAGGTTCAATCGTGGGTTATACTGTTGCCCGACCATTGTTTGCCAAAGAAGAAGGTTACAAGATTGGCCCGCTCTTTGCAGATTCCGAGGCAGTTGCAGAGAAGTTATTGAAAGCAGTCTTTGAAGAGCTTCTTCAAGAGCAACCCGCTCCAGTCGTCTGTATCGACGCTCCTACAAAGAAGGCGAAAGAGATTGGCGAAAGGCTTCAGGGGAAGAAGTCACTTGAAACGGTGTACATGGTCATGAATGATCCCCCTGATGCATGTTTTGACAAGTGGTTCGGTATGACCACCCTTGAACTTGGTTAGTTAATTAAGGGAAACTTAATCCAGGATTATACCGCCTTTGGGTACGCCCACAACAACAAGATACAAGCCAATAGGACTAATATATATTATACGACGTTTTGTATTTCGTAACCTTTTACTTCTTTTACTATACTACCTTGGCTTAAGCAATGGGCGAGAATTTGGCCCACAGTCTAGGTTAAGTAAAAAGGGCGGTCAGTTAAGTCATTGATGATCGATCTTTTTGAAAAAAAATAATGCGTATAGACGTGTGCTATTTCTATGGTGTGTAGATAGCTAATTATTATCATCACCGATCCTCATCATCATGATCACAATCAATATAATTATCACTATTACTGTCACTGTCACTGTTACTGCCATTGTCACTGTCACTGTCACTGTACTGTTATAATTACTGTCAGTGCCACTGTTACCGTCATCGTTACTGTCATTGTCACTGTTACTGTCACTGTCACTGTCACTGTCAC